TCTCTCTCTCTCTCTCTCTCTCTCTCTCTCTCTCTCTCTCTCTCCGTCTACGCTCGCCCGGACGCCCGTTCCTCCGTCTTCCTCGCTCCGTCCTTCCTCGTGCTGTCTCTCTGCGCTCACCTCCAGGACGACGTTGAGGCACATCGCCCGTGCCCTGCCCCCTCTCGCCGGGCATGGAGTGGGACCAATAGGAGCGCCGCTTCCGGCAACGATGGTGCTCCAATCGGCACACGACGCCGACGGATAGACGCTGACGAGAGGCGATTTTGACAGTCGACACTGTGCTACTCTCAGCGCTCGCGGTTTAATCGCGCACTGGACTTACTTTGAGTCTGGGATCCTAGTGATTCGTGAATCGAAGCAGTGTCCTCCGCAGCGTGGGTTCTGTCAATGGTCACCTCGCGACCTCGCGAAAGTGCCTCCTCTCCTTTTATTCATTGGATATTGGATTTTCTCAGTGAATCACGATGCTAACGAAAATTTCACTCGTGTCGAGCCCGCTGACGGCGTGACGAGAAAAGATTACTAGCGATCACGTGGTCGAAGAAACAGCGGTCCGTTTCGAGGACTCGCCGGGATTATTTGATTCGAGCGGACGCTAAACGACCGCGGAAAATTCCGCAGCTAATCCATTGGATAATAGACTCTACGAGCATTCCCACGGAGATTCCCGCCTCCGGCATTCAGGAATAATCGTATGTTTACCACGACTCGACGCGCTCGCTTCTGGAGTCGAGTTTATTCGGAAGCGGGCGGACAGCCTCGGTGATCAATAGAGCCCGCGACAATAGATCCAAGTGATTCTCCCGCTGACACATACGGATACGCGCGCTGCTCCTCGCGCCGCGAACCTCCGCTGTCGCGAATGCGAGCGCGTCGTCCGTCCCGGTCCGCAAAAGTGAAAGGAACCTCCCGGAGGACTCGTCGTTAACCACGCTGGACATTACGGGGGGGCGGGGGGACCGTGAGATACCGCGGGAGTAATTAAATGCGCGCGTGAGATAATCGGATGAGCTGCGCTATGGAGTATCAGCAATTGGCGCCACCGCCGGTACCAGCTGGGGTGCTGCACACCCAGGCGCACCATCCTCAACCTCAGCATCAGCAGCAGCAGCAGCAGCCGGTGCAGCCGCCGCAGCATCCGCACATCGTAGTCGCGCCGGCTCATCAGCAGCCGCAATCCCAGCAACCACCGCCGCCACCCCTGCCGCCGACCTCCCACGGCCACCAAGTGCATCCGCCGCTCCCGCCCATTCACGAAGACAGCACCAGTTCCAGGTGGTCCCAGTACCAGCACTTGTGGAGGCAGCATCATGTTTACATGAACGGTAGGCATGCATATCACAAGTTGGAACTAGACAGATACGCCGTATCTCCGAAATGAAAACTCGATCGATAACACGCTATAAGCTTCCGCGAGAGATTTTATTCCGCTAACTGTGTGTGTGTGCGCGCATGTGGAAGCTAAAGATGGTTCTTCATAGCTAATGATTGCGAATCGAACTGTGTAACGCACGTATAATATATCACTTGGAAAATCGGCTACAGTAGTAGTGGCAGTGGAGAGGGAAAAGTCGCCGTACAGTAGAAACGCCCACCTGTTGCTTACGTTAGCCAGCCCACACTCGATCTGCGACTACTGCACGATCATCAACACGGAATCGGCAGTGTTTTTATTCATCCGCGATGTACAAATTGAAAATTTCACGCGTTAGAGTAACGTTTAAAGAAGATTTAAAGAGTTTAAACTTTTGCTTTTTTTAGAAATGTTACCACAAACGGAAGAGATGTATAGACCAAATTTACAGCTTGGGAATAATAGTTGCTCCGTAATAAAAGTGAAATAAAAACAGACCGCATAGTTAATTACTCTTACTTTGATGCAACAAAGTATTGCATATTCGTTGTAATACAGGTAATTGTCACCGCGTGTCGTCGCGAAGCGTCTTTTACCTGCATCGTTTATCGCGAAACATATCTGTTAACTAGGCGGGTCGGGTTAATCGAACATGGAGCGTGAATGAATCATCCGTCTCCATGTATGTAAACGTGTGAATTCATCTATGCGCCTATCCTAGTTACGGCGGATTCGACTCAAGGCTCTTCGCATTTGCATCCTCCCACGTCCTCAGCTCGTTTCGCTCCTGCTCGCGTTCGCGCTCTTTTCTCTCGCTTTTTCTTGTCTATTCGTCTCCTTTTGTCGTACAAGTAGAAAATTTCCGTGGAGAAACTATTATTGTTTATTTGCATACGCTCTCGAGCCGTACCAGCGTCGAGAACGCAGCGTGCATCTATTCTATTCCTATTGTATATTTTAAACGTCAAGCGTAACAACTTTAATTGCACAAACAAATTAGGTATTTACCCTCAGCCACAAAGATAGAAATAGCAAAATACTTTAACGTCGTGTGATCGTGAATATTTGAAAGGATACTTGTTGCAAATTTATTGAGCGATCTAACATTTAATATTTATTCAATAATAATTTGTGAATAATTGGGATAAATTACTGATGAGAAAAAAAGTGCTTCAGGAAATTAATAAAAAATTGATCTATGCAGATTATTTTTCCCGTTCAAAAACTGTGTCGGCTTATACATATTCACAAATTAATGGCCGCTGTAGCTTTTGACTGTACGATTGTCGGAATGGCGATACTCGCGTCCGCGATATTGTCATCGAGCACAATAGATTAGAATCGCATTTTAGGATGCACAATGTGAAGGATGGGTTAGCCTAGCCTCACCTAGCCTCAAAGCATACAGCATTGTATTGTTAGCATTGCGTCATCGTAATAGCGACAAATTCGTACCTCGAAATAATATTTGTTGCGGAATCCATTAATCACGTTGTTATTGAAATTCTATAATGCATAAAATGTATCATACGATAGAAAAAAAATTCAAGAGATTCGTTCAAAAGTTCAGAATAAAAACGTATTCATATAAATATGAAATATGATTTTTGCATCTTGTATAAATCAGCGACACGTAAAAAGGGACCTTTCGAAAGTATAAATTCGAAAAGTATTCAGGATTCATGAACATATCATTTATAATTAAGCAGTTTTAGATTTTCAGCGATTGTAAAATGGCAAACACAGAGATGAATTTTTAGCAGAGTTAAGAATGTTCTCGAGAAGCGACATTTTGCACAACAATAATTTTAAAGATGATTTTACTTGAAACCTGTTAGCTTTCCCGATCGATAAATTTCCTTCATGAATTCGCGTTATCATTCTATCGATCTATCTAAGTTTATGAATATTAACACCATGAATATTAACACGCCTTTTACATGCTCCAATTAATTACATATTATAGAAATTATCAGAACATAAAAGTCGGCTAAACCGTGACGTCAAGTCGACAATCTCGTCGATACTGAATCGCATCTTCGACCATACGAGCAGAGTTTCCGAGTTAATTCGCGCACCGACCTACGACCTCGAGATATCTCGTTCTCGACCTTGATGATGCTCCGATTGAAATTCTGATTAAAGAATTTTACGTAAATTTTATGAAAATGAGCAAGATATATTTGTCATATCGTTGCAATAAAGATTTTGTAGAAGATCGCGCGCGGTGAGCCAAGGAAACGCCTTCCGGATACGAGTATGACATAATACTATTTATAAAACGCAATTATAAATTGCCCGAGACACATATGCGAGAAAGTGCGTACTCGTATTTTCCCTAATAGGCCACTGCACAAGACCCTATGCGCGAAGTCTGCTGCACTGTTGCCTGCACGCATATCGTTCTTATGTGTATCCCGATGAAACAGGTGAAACTACAAAGTGTATCGTGTGCGCGTGTACATAAATATGCGTGCACATGTGAGACGTTTTTTCAACGCGCCGATATATATCGTTGGACAATAATACGTGCACGTTGCGGAGCGCATTCGGAGCACGAGTGCAGTCCACGTGCTCCGCCTTTTAAAAAAAGTCGATACGCGAAATCCGATTTCGCCGATGTCGCAATCGCTAGAGACGGTTATTTGGGGATTAATCTATTATTCACTCACCCTGGTCCTCGAGGCACTCCGCCGAGCGATTGGAGACGGTCCTGCAACAAACGTTATTTATTAATTAGATCACTGAATTATTCAAAGACGTTTGCACGTAAAAATACACACATTTATTGAATTATTTATATTATTTGATACACGCGCAAGCACGTGAAAACTCTCTTCCCTTGTTCTATTGCGTAACCAAATCGAAATGAATTGTCAACATAGCGAAAGCCGGCAGTCGCGTTATTCGTTTTAACATTACCTGACTAATAGCTAACAACTGACGAATCGTTCTTATCTTCTTCCAGGTAAGTTTCACTTGCGAACCGGTAAGTTAAGTCAGGCTGCATGTTAAATCTATCGTATTACGTCAGTATCATTGTTGTATCTTTTAGTAAATAAAATAGAGTTTTCACTTGAATTTTTTCGAGATTCGTCGACTATTAACTGTCATTATTAATTGCTGATTCAATCGCATGGCCTTCGGTGGGCTCGTGATTAGTCAAGTGTTAACTACGCGGTAGGTAATAATTACACTGGCGCCATATGTCAGTGCCGAGATAACAAATAATTTTTCAACGGGGCAGAGAAAGTGCGTTGTGCAAACTTCTGTCCGAGTCATTCGTGCAACAGCATTGGCGACGACCCGCGAGAGAATTAAATCGAGATACTTCGAGGTTCATTATTGTATCGCGATTGCATTCACAGATAAAATCGAAATCGCGGTTACTCAGATTTCCTATACAAGGTAGCCTATACAAATTAGCTAATAATCGCTGTTTCATCGCTGACATCTAACGATAAATATAATAGAATTCAATTTTTTTTAAATATTAATATACTGAAATAGAAAGTCACGCGCAGTATTCTATTTAAGGAATACGCATAATTGTGATTATTAATATTTCCCGTACGCGTACGGTGTAACTTGTATGAAAGGTTACTACTTTTCTCGAGTCATTGTAATAACCGGTATACGGAGTATCCGCAAATTCATCTTCCGAATCCGAGCCGAATTGGAGAACATGGTCTGTGGCACGTGTCTATTTTTTCGTATCACGGTTGCACATGTGCATTCACCATAATCAAACATTGACGATAAAGACAGTACGCCAGTTTTTGCAGACGACCCGATACCGACGACGTGATTACCGAGCCTCCTCCGAGACCCCACCGATAAGCGTTTTTCTTATTCCTTTTTCCGCACAGTCGACTGTGCAACAGATATGATGTCAACGTATCGATTAATATATCGGTTAACATATCATTGTACGGAGACCGATCGAATACTAATTGTGATGATCGTAATTTGAATATTTAGCCTCGCCCATCGATGAGAAGTACGTGAAATCCCGTTATTATTCAATCATTCAAGGCTGCATTGCCGACTAGGTCAGCAAGGCCACGGTTAAAGATTGCCTTTCGATTCTTATCCGATCGCTGGTATCATTTGAAATGTAATATGCAATCGAATCATGTAAAAAGAGCTAATCCTTTTTATGCACGTGGAAAACTCACGTTAGAAAATAGATCGAAATAAACAAAGCGATGGAATTATTTGATTCCATTTTAATGAAATATACTCATTGTTCTTCCGTAGAATTCTCTGATCTAATTTCAACATTGTTACTCTCTGAAAGTCAAATCAATGTATTATCACTGAAAACAGTTATAAGCGCAGCACTGAATAATTCAGTGCGAACTGCGAATTAGTGAATATTTACTCTTTTCACTGATAATCCGCCGATTTTAGAGAGTAAATTACATGCTTTACTGAGACATAGATTTCAAGTCAGCTACGAGTTTCATCGCCCGAGTCTGTCGTCGGTCAAAAATGTCAGCGGGAAGTTGTAATTTCTCGATTGCAATTTTCACGTGTGCCGTCACACGTAGGAAAAGTGCTCGATCTCACTCGTCGGCATCGCGAGATTGTTTCTATCGCGCAAACCTACGCCGTGGAAACCTGGCTATTCAGCCTTAAACCCGGAAGACAGCTGGCGTGGCGCACGGTTCTCGGCTACGTCGTCATCGTTGCGTCGTCGTCATCGTCGTCGGCGTAGTCGACGAATGTCCAGCCGTGCAGGCTGTCGGAGAAAGTAATCACGTGCCATTCTTAGGAATAGACACCTTCGCGCTTTCCGCTAGTGGCTCTCATTATTGCCCGTGGAACTTTGTCGTGAAATATATAATTGTTGACGTCCGTATCTCACGTTGCAGGATAGTTTACGATATAAATCTAGAGACAGCAACATAAACCATTTAGAAGCTTGAGAGGATGGAAGATCCATCATAACTTGGTACTTGGAATAAT